TGTTCTTCCTTAGCAGTATGCAAAAATGCTGTAATGAAACAATCTTCAGCAGAAACAGTTTGATGAAAAAATCAATAATGAAATGAGACAGTGAAAAACATTTAATGTACAACAATTAAAATTCATTTAAAAGGCCATCAGAGATTCAATGACCCAATCTTGTACATAGCTTCATAATCAGCTATATTGAAACTTCTGACCCTTTTTGCCTACTCAAAGTTGTCAAAGAAAAATAGCTGGAGAGCAAGAGTCGCTGAAAAAAGACCAGTTGTCATTTTGAACTCTATTGCTGGAGATAATGGTATATGGTTCTCTAATGTTTTTTACTAGTTGGAGGGGCTAACCAGGCCTGTCCCTCTGGATCAGACTGCTTTTAGACATTAATCCTAGAAGCAACCCCAACTGAGTTTCTCACCATTTGAGAATGTTCACTCATATTCCCCCTCAAGTGTCTTCACATATATTATTCTGTGCCTCAGCAGATTTTAAGGTTTAAGTTCAGGGTCATAAAAAGGGAGTTAGACAAGGTGAGGTACTCAATCAGAATTGAGGTTCCAAACCATTTATAGCTTTGAAAATCATTACTAACACTCTGAACTCAGATGAAAAATGTATTGCAAGTTATTATAAATCCTTTCTCTAAGGAGTTAGGTCTGGAATTTAGCCTAGTGAGCCAGCATGATGTGCAATGAACATTTAATTCAGGTATTAAGGAGAAGTGTCCAGGTGTGTAATATCAGGTAGTATATAATATAGTCATTTTTTTACAAATTGGCAAGCCGTTCTTCTTCTTCTGACTTAGTTTACAGGGTGTTACCCTCAACTTGCTGACCTCCACTTGTTTTCCTATTGATTTTGGAGCTCTGGCAGAGAGAATATTCCTACAGCTTCAGATCTGGTTGCAATGTTCATCCCTCAGCCGTTTCAATTGACTTTGGGGAAATTCCACACCTATCAATCCAATTTGGTTGACTTATTTTCCCCATACTGTTGACATCTCCTGTGGGGAAGCTTTCACTGCACATTGTAGTTAGAGCCAAGCGCCCAGATTATTCCCTGACAAAAGTGATTACCTCAATGGACTGATATTTTAATGAGCCTGCATATTTGAATGAATCTTCCAATATGAGAAGAGGTGGAAGAAACAGCTGAGCCCACATTTAATATATGCCTCAGATAGTCAGTCTTGACTTAAATTACTTAAGAGAACACAGTTTGATCTGAACTTGTTTTGACATCAGTGGTTACCTTTTTGCTATCCGGAGGGAACAGAAGAAACATAGGCAGAGACAAAGACACACATATGTCCACATATATACTTCGATGAGATTTAATAGGGAACTGTTGTATGTACAACACAACATTTTTCAGTTGCCCCAGGAAAATAACTCAGGGTTCTACCACTCGGGGAAATTCCAAGTGATCACCTAGAAATCAGCTGCAAATAAGAAAAGCAATAAACAGGCTTGGCAAAAACCCTCAAGAATTACTGAAGAGTTACTGAATCTCATGGAAGCTAAATGCTGGGTTCACCAACAATCTTTCATATCTTTCAAAACTATTTATAGGCAGAAGGCAAATAGCAAGGCATGCACAAAATTATAGATGATCTCAGCATTCTTTTTAGAATGAAATATATATTAATAATCTGTTCTGCAATAAAACCTGCTTGTTCCCAAATGAAAGTAACTATTAGAACAGTAGCGATAAACTACTTTTTGCCCTGCAGTCATTATATGCCATGATTTCATTTTGAGATGCAAAACTGTAAATGTTCTGGGCATTTCTTTTTTTTAAAAAGTCATGAGCTCCAAAATATTGTATTGTTTTGGTTTTTTGGTTGCTGTTCTATCATAGGGATGTGTTTTTTTCCTTAGCAGTACAAGGGTAACATTTGGACTATGAATAGAGTAACAGGGAAACATTTCAACACAATGTGGCCAGAACAAAAACTAAAATAAATTCAGTTTAATTCCAGCATTGCTGAAATTATACTAATTTAATTCAATGCTATCATCCAGCCTGGAGGATCTGCTGTTTGGTATCCACATCTGACTCATGTTGCCATAAAACAGTATTCTTGTGAGATTTTTAAAGCGTAGTTCACTACTGCTTTCCCTAACTCTCCCCATTTATCCAGGCTTGGGACCAGCATATGGTTGATGAATGGGACCATATGGTGGTTGAGTTAAGTTCAGTGTACTTCATATGATTACGCCATTTATATTTAATCAGTTTCCCTGCATTAAAAATTACAAATAGGTGACAACCTTTTAAAAAGTTCTGGATAACTCACCAAAAGCTTTGGGAAGATTGCATGTGACTTTAATGATTTTAGTTGTATCACTCTTTTCCAACAAGTACAGAATCCAGAGGTTGAAAAGAATGGAATAGTACAGCAGAAACACTGAAGAGACAACTTAATGATGTGCTTTACAACTTAAATGACTCACAGAGTTATCTATACCAACGTTCTATAAGACCATGCAGTGTTAATCAGAGATCTGAGTGCACGTCAAACAATTATTCTTTCCAGTAGCTACGGAATAGAATAACAGAGTTGGAAGGGACTTTGGAGGTCTTCTAGTCCAACCCTTTGCTTAGGCAGGAAATCCTACACCACTTCAGACAAATGGTTATCTAATCTTTTCTTTAAAACTTCCAGTGTTTTGCTTTCTTTTTTTATTCTAATTTTTTGTTTTTGCAGAAGCTTTCTTGTTTTTAAGGTATTGTCAACCTATGTGCCAAATTAAGCAACTAGAATAAGGAACAGAAGGGTGGAGAGGTAGAGCCATATCATATACTAATGGTCTTCCCATTCTGGATTTGATACTAGAAAGATGTGAGCCATTAACAAAAAAGGTTAACAAATGAGAAATGTGCTGTTGTCACCAGCTTATAAAACCCCACTGTTGTAAAGGATTCTCCTTCTTTCCAATTACACTAAGATCCGAGAAGCCTTTAGTTGCTTATCTTGTCATCAGGGACACCAGATTTGCTTAATCCTGCTACCAATACTTTTGTTTCACTTACTCCCTGATGTTTCATCTGGTATTTCTTATACAGGTAGTCCTCAACTTACAACAGTTCATTTTGTGACCGTCCAAACTTGCGATTCCATTTTGCAATGTGCAGTGCTAAAACTCAGTGGGACCCAAGGAAACGCTATTTTCTCATTTGTGAAAAGCCTCACCCCACCTCTTGTACCCTGAACTTTTTCCAGGAAACCTTGATTTTTCTTGCTTATATATGCAATATGTACCTGCCTCACCAAACATCCTAATTAATCAATGGTGGGATTCAAATAATTTAACAACCGGTACTCTGCCCTAATGACGAGCTAGGTAGGCGGGGCTCAGTGGTCACGTGACTGGGTGGCGTGGCCAACTGAATGTCACTCACATTAATGGGCACTTCCCTTTAGCTGTTACAATGTAATAGGGGTTAATAAGAGAGGCAGTTTCTGTAAACAGAGCAATTAAGATTAGGCTAGAAACAACACCAGAATGTTTCCTTCCTGCCTTCCTTACAGGATTAGCCCTGTAAAGTGGGGGAAAAAATGAGATTTCTTCCAACTGGTTCTCCGAACTGCTTAGAAAGTTAACAACTGATTCTCCCAAATAGGTGCGAACTAGCTGAATCCCACCACTGCCTAACCTCTCCTTCACACACATACATATCTACAATATTTACCTGTAAGGACTATATACTATAACCTACAACTAAGGTCACAGCTGTCAGGAAAAAATACCTGATTGCAAAACTGAAATTTTGAGGCATCATCATAGCTTTCAGTGGGAATTTAGATGCAGGAAGAATGACATTAGGATGGCACGTAACTTTCTCTTTCCTACCAGCTCTTATTTTTTGCAAACCAGACACCATATGCCCATAGCCTTGTACAGAGAAACCTGGAGGATGGAGGGGTTGAACAATCTACTTTTCCCCTTTCTTTGTGGAATGGATAAGGACAAACACACTGGAATGAAGATATTTTAAGTAGGAAATCTGACCAGACTGAAAAGAGAAGGCTACCAGTCCTGAATAGGCTGCATGCCTTCTGGAGAACCAAGTTTGCAATTTAGAGATTTATCTGAGCAAGTGCTAACTGGGGAGATATTGATTGCAGCAGCGAAGGAATGCTTTTTACCAGCATAGTATGATAGACCATTTGGTATGCCATTGTCGCTGGAGGATTATGGGAGTTGAAATTTTAAACTTCTGAAAGGCAGCTGGTTGGGAAAGGCCGCCATAATGAGCTAAAAATCTCCTTGTGCTATTAAGTGAAACATAAGCTGGGATTCCAGAGCCAAGACCGTTATATGGCTGTGGCAATGCCAATTGTGTCTCTTTTTTTTTTGCAACTAAACATAGATGTTTCAAGATCAAAAAGAAAAATGCAACTCCTAAATCCAAACTTCCACATTTCCCCTTAGGGCATCCAAGAAATTAATCAGCACTCCCATAGTGGAAGTGTTCAGTTTACTAATAATTACTTGCTACTTAATATCATTTTGAAACTCATGTAATTAATGTTTGCATAGAACTTAGAAAAGGCATGCAGTAAGCAGTAATTTATATCCCTGCATTTGTTTAATAAATGACAATACATACCATATTATTTATCACTTGAAAAGGTAAAAAATTATTGACCTAGTTTACATCTTTTGTATCCAGTATGATAATTTCCTAAGCAGAAATCACTGTTTATGTCCAAACCTAGAAACTGGGATTTTAAATGCTCTCACAAGTAAGGACTGCGAAGTACAATGTAATCTAGTCTCTAAACAAGGATCATAGATAACATTGAAAGAATTTCATGGTTTAGCCATGTAATTAAAATTGCAGTTTTAACAAAACAATGTGCAGTAGATAATTTTCCTGTCTAATCTCATAGCATCCCAGGAAGTGAAGTGACCATTGACACGGTGTATTTGCCAAATACATCAACATCATCTGTATTTGAACAGAAATTCGCTTTCTGTTTTTCAGGTAAACATTTCCAACTTTGATATGGTTATGGAATCAGATGAAGGAACATTTACGCCCACTGGCCTGGCTTTCACGGGCAGCCTTAAGGCTCGTTGTATCATGAAGGAAATAATGAAACATCTGAAGCCTCTCAACATTACCAGTGTTTTTGAAGATGGCGGAGGAACAGACATTAGTTACTGGATTCATGAAGGAATACCAGGTGAGATTCTTCAATGATTTTTACAAATTGCTAGGAAGGGTATAATTGAATTCCCTTTCTTAGGTGATGCCCTTTTTGGAGCCTAATATTGGAGGGGAGAAGTCTTTTTCTTGAATAACTCTGCAGCAGAAATTTAATGTGTGAACATATGTCAGGATTAACTACAGAAGCCTGGCTACATAATGAACATTTGAAGGACTTTTTTTAAAAAAAAAAATTCAGATGATACATGGACAATATGTTTGCAATCTTCTTTTAAGCTTTAGGATTTAGCTTAATCTTCCCTTCAGTGATGGAGTTAAAAATAACATCCCACATAAAGGACATCCCCTCTAAAGGGGGAGAAAGGTGCAAACCAAAAATAGCATAGGCTGTCTTTTTTTTTTTCTTCACTTGTTCACATGGCTGCAGATGAGGACAAGCATGTAGAAAAATTTAGGGTGTAATCTATCCTAGTTCATATATAATTCTGCATCAAATGCTTTATCTGAAAATATGCAGCTTATAGGATGAGTGGAAATTCAATGGTGAAAAGAGTAAGGTTCTACATTTAGGCAAGAAAAACAAAATGCACAAGTACTGTATAAATTGTACCTTGCTCAAAAGTAATAACTGTTATTGGAGTCCTAGTGGACCATCATTTAAATATGAGCCAGCAGTGTGCAGCAGTTGCCAAAAAGTCAACACAGTTCTAGGCTGCATAAACAGAGGGATAGAATCAAGATCACGTGAAGTGTTAATACCACTTTATAATGCCTTGGCAAGGCCACACTTGGAA